GCTCTCCCTCTGAAGTGTTTGACGCATGGTTGGAGCAAGTTTGGCTGGCGGGGGGCTCGGAGCTGCACGAGGGCGAAGGCCGAGGCTATGTCGGCCACGTTCGGGGAGCCCCGCTGGGCATTGAAGAGGAGATTCTATCAGCGGGGCTGCCCATTGATGATCCCGTAGACAGCGATGGAGGGCGACCGAGTCTTGCCGCAGCCCGCCGAGATCACTCCAAGATCCCATCGATCTGTTACAAGATCCACAAGTTTGGGGTGTTCCCGATCCAGGACCACCTCGCGTTCGTGCAGTTCGTGGACGTAGCGGCGTCCCCAGAGAGCACCCCTGCTACGCTAGTGATCTGGTCGCTCAAGATGGAGCCATCAGTGCTGGGATACCTTCTCTGCTGCGGTGGATTCGCCAGATTCATCCTGCGTCCAGCGCTGCAGGGTTTCCTCAGTACACTGGCAAGAAATGCTACAGCCAGAGCAAACCGTCACCTGGAATAGAGCTGCATTGGAATAGAGCTTCATTGCGCCAATTTTGACTGGTAATAATTGCCTGCCATGTATTTCATCCGCTGTCGCCACTCGCGACAAGTGCTACGCACGCTTTTTGGTGAGGCCACATAACTGCCCGGAGCCGTTTCTTAAAAAGATACTTTCTTTGTCATGACCGTTATAATTCGCTTTCTTCAACCATTTCAACCAATCCTGGTCATTCCATTGTGTGACTTGTAATCATGGCGGATCGGTACATCGATGTTGCCGCCTATGAAGCCTACGAGGACAGCGATGGACAGGAGCTAGCGCTGAAGCAACTGGTGAATGCATCGGTGGGTGAGGCTTACGACGCGTGGCTGCGCGTGGAGTGGGTCGGTCGCGGCTCGACGTTGATTCCTGGCGAAGGTCGTGGACTCGTGGGTCACCGCCGGATCGTCTCGCTGGGAGTCGAGGAACAGATCATCTCGGCGGGGCCGCCTGACGGTTCAGATCGCATCCCCACCGTGCGCTACAGTATAAGGAAGAGCGGCCCGCTGCTGCTAAGTGACCACGTGGCATTTGTACAGTTCGTGGCAGACAGCACAGCGCCCCCCTCCCAGCCCAAGACGCTCATCCTCTGGAACTCCAAGCTCACACCGTCCACTATCGGCAGCGTTCTGCTGTGTGGTGGATCCATTTCCCGCCTCGTACTCAGGACGGTGTTGTCCAGTTCGCTGAGCGAGATTGCGGCGTCGTTCCATTGGAAAAAAAACTAGTTGCCTACACATGAAATGTGAGTCATCGAAATGTCAACTAAAAAGGAGTGCTGTGAGCTGGGATACTACGTGTACTGAGGGCAATAAAGACGCTACCGGTATTTGTTCATCTTAAAGCGACTGGAGATTTTTACTTAACTTGTTACTGGGTCATGTTCTTGTAGTGGAGCTCTACAGACGTTAGAAGCGGAGGAGAATTCCTTGCCTCATCCTAAAGTATCAATAGATAATAGGAGCAGAAAGCTCACTCTTAGTGCCAAATGGCAGGTACAGCCTTCTCGATAATGGAGTTTGACAGTGCCCGCACATCCTGATCGCGCGATGCCTCAAATGCACGTAGTCGGTTGAGACCGTCGTGCTGCAGAAGGGAGTTGCAAAACACCGTGAGTTTGTTCATGTCACGGTGATCCACCGACAGGTAAAAGCTGAGCACATCGTGCAATACTTTCAATGCTTGCTTCACTTCGCGGAGATTCGGTCCACTCTCAATCTTGCCCTTCGCCTTGGCAAAGACATCCACTCGAGATGTTGTAGCCATCGGTGATTGAGCTCGAGCGAGAACCGTAAGCTCCTCGACGCAGTCAGCCGGGTGCTCCTGCAGCATCTTGAGCCGACCGTCGCTAAGATCGAGTGCGTTGTTCGAGAGCCGACGCATGATAGCTAAAGTAGGATTGGGATTGCTAGACGTCGCTGCCGCCTGCGCTTCCTCGTTAGCCTTGACTGTGCCAGCGATCTCCTCTTCAAGTTTCCGTAGCTGCACTCGACGACGCAACATGTCTGCTCGCTGAATGTTGGCTTGTTTGAGTGCATCGCTTTCGCTTTTACGTCTTCGGGCGTTACGCTCCTTCCGAGCGAGTTGTATCGCTTCACTGATCATGTCTAACGATGATGAGGCGCTGGCTGGAGGTATCCGCATTTGTGAGTGTCGTCGTTGCCGCCTCGTGTGGACCATTCCGTCGTCGTCACTAGAACCAGACTCGATGTCCCAGGCGCCAAGTGACTTGTGCTTACGCAGATCAAATCGTGCGCGAAGCAGCTCGTGCGCTTTTTGGTTCTGCAAGTGACGCCCCGAAGAGGCGTCCACCATTGCTGCGTACTGCTTGTCCAGGTGCTTCTCGTACTCCGGAGCTACCACGAAGTAGGATAGCAGCGCGACGGCTATAACGACGACGCTAAGCACGAGCACCACGAGTTGAGCCTCCGAATAATCAGAAGCAATGGCCATTAGTGAAGACAGCCCCCGTTCTATCATGTTTGCCGCAGCAGGTTTTCGTCCTCGGTTAATTGACAGCTGATACCGGAGTACCTGAGTCGCACCTCTTTCGTCTTATTCACTATGTCGGCAATGGTTGTCGGCGAAAAGAATACTTTGTGCGTGTTCCTTTGGTATTCCCTCGCCTTTCCGTTGGAGTTTCTTTCTGTTTTTCGAGCTGCGACCTGGTTGGGCAGGTATCCTGCTACGAGAGAGAGACGGAGGGAGTGTCCAGCCGAGGCCTGAAATCGGCGGGCCGCTTGGCGTTAGTTGCAAGCGGAAGGCGTTGTGCCGACTCGAAGTCTTAGTAGTTTTTGCTCGCAGAAAATGGAAGCTTTCGTTTCCTCCACCCTATTCTTGTAAGCATGGTATTAATAATTTGGGCGAAATATCCTGGCGTTGGCGAAGCGACAGCGGGGCGCCCCATATGGATTTACTTAGGTCATTCATCGTGCTTCGGCGTGGCCATTTGGACGGAGGAGATTGCCTCTTATCGCAGCTCAAATTGAGCTGTGCGATTGAGGCTCAATCGCAGAGGAGTGCATGAGTAGGTGCTAGTAAGCCATTTTTAGCTACCGGAAACGTTATGCGAATGAAGCAGTGTGATCTACGAAACGCTTCAGCGTGGCAATTGTGGCGCAATATGCACTAGCAACTTGACAGGCAATGCCATTGGCATTTGCCAACGGTGTAAGGGCCGATCTGCAGCCGCTTGTTCTGTACGTGTAGACTGTAATGAACTTTCTTCCGGTAAAGGTTTCACTCTTGCCAGCACAGCGCTTGTCTCATCTTAACATGGCTTCCGCAGTCCCGACGCATTGGCCAGTGAAGCATCTATTCTTCACAAGGAAATGGTGCTTCACCGTGATCGATGATCGATGTCGTGCTTGGACTCGACAGCCCAAAAACGGTCACTGCTTCCCCGGATAAACTATCAGTGATAGTGAGAACGCTGAACAGCATCTTTGAGGAAACAGTGTGTGAAGTACAGTTGTATTGTAACTTATAAGCGACTGCAGCTCCTTTTAATAGCACACCTGAATAGTTTCGTGGCGATAACGCGAACACGTTCATGCATTGAACTCGACTTGGCGAAATCATCATGATGCTTACCTTTGTCTCAATCGTTTCAGTAACCAACCAGGTCACGTTGAGCAGGTACGAAGCCACGGTGACTTAGCCACCAGGCTAGGGAATCACATGGAATGAAGCGCTCAGTCCCGAGGCCCTACGCGAGGCAGCCTCTGACGCTAAACTTGGCCATTCCGAAGTGTTTGATGTCAAGAAGCCCGGGCCGCCACGGGTTTTCATCTGGCTGCTCCTTTCATCACTGTCGTCCAGTGAACGTGGTGCTGCCATTGTCGAGGTGTCCGTTGAAGAGGGTAGCATAGAGACAACAAACTCACCGGGCTCAGCTCGCCACTGAAAGCCATGACCCACCATGTGCGGCTCGTAATAGCTCCAATCCTCAGGTGTGAGTACGAATTCGACATCTTGGCTGGCCCCCGGTGCCAGCTCGTCCAGTTTCTCGAATGCCTTGAGTAGCTTCGTTTCGGGCACAGATACGCGTCGGAACTTCTGGGATACAAACAGCAGCACGACCTCCTTGCCCGAGCGAGTACCGCGATTCGTCACGGTGACTGCTACTTTCAGCGCTCCCGTTGTAGCGTGAACCTGAGTGGCATTAAGTCGTAATGTCGAGTACTCGAATTTCGAGTAGCTGAGTCCGTGACCAAATTGCCACTGCACAGGACACTCGTCGAACGGTTGACATCGCGTGTTGACACGGTGAAAATACGGTTATAACTGGGTACTTCGCGCTGGGTAGGTAATAGGCAATCGCGCTGACGGATTCACAACCCCAAAAATCACGTCCGCCAGTGCCTGGCCACCCTGCTCGCATGGCAGCATGCTCAGGATAACAGCGTCAGCATGGTTGTGGGCCCCCTCGAGCAAACGAGGACGACCAGAAACCAGCACGACAATCACCTTGGTCGAATTCAGCTTTGTAAGCTCCTCAAGGTACCACAACTGTCCAGCAGGTAAAGCCATACTTCCTAGCAAGTCGCCAGTCTTCTCCGCATAGTTTGGCTCACCCAATACAACCAGGGTGTACTCGCTTTTGGCGGCAAGCTGCATTCCTCGTTGAAAGTCCTGAGGGTTCACATTGCCATCAATATCAACCACCTCGAGATGATGTAGCTTCGATTGCCCGCCCGAGGACGCTGCCTTGGCCTGAACGGCTTTCTTGAAGGTAGCACCATTCGGGAAAAGCGTCGAGTCACTGGATCCCTGCCAGAACACGGACCATCCACCACATTGAAAGCCCTTGTTGTCCGACACAGGTCCGGTGACAAAAATATTTGTCGTTTCTGTCAGGTCAATAGGCAGAGCGCTGTTGTGGTTCTCCAGTAAAATTACTGACTCCTGGGCCAACGATAACGCGGCCTGTTGATCAGCAGCATCGCCAACGGTAGACGCACTATCCATTCCGTCACGCCCAAAGCTATCGTAATAGTCTGGCTCGAGCAGTCCGAGATCCCGTTTGGTTTCCAAGATGCGCCGCACAGATTCGTCAAGACGGCTCTCTGAAATGAGTCCTTGCTCGACTAGCGACTCGATAGTGTCACCGAATGCAGGTAAGTTAGGTGACATGTTCATATCGAGAGACGTTTCTTGCAGGGCAACACGAACAGCATCAGCCACTCCAGTAACCAAATAAAGTGGATTTTTCGAAACTACAGCTCTCTCCTGGACTCACAATTTCCTCTGATCTCACCTATGACTGAAGACTCGACGTATGCACTACCAGGTTTGCAATATTTTCGCTGAAGCTCACTGGAAATTGTTTTCCAATGAAGCAAGTCAAAATAGAGCTCACCGCACTTCTCCATTTTTAAAGTTGCCCCGCCAAATGTTGGACAGGGAAAGTATTATAATAGTGTTGCGCCCT